TTCGTTCAAGGTGTTGGAAAAGGAATAATAGGTGTTGCTGCGCAACCAGTGAGTGGTGTGCTGGATCTTATTGCAAAAACTACTGAGGGTGCCAATGCGATGAGAATGAAAATACAAGCTGCTTTAACTTCTGAAGTGCAACTTTTACGGAGGAGATTGCCACGTGTAGTTAGTGGTGATAACCTCCTTCGACCTTATGATGAGTATAAAGCACAAGGACAGGTAATTCGTGGTTCTGATTTGCATTTTATTATTGAATTAGAAGAGGATCCTAGTGGAAAGTCTTTATTGCTCCCTTTTTTTCAAGAAAATGATGTGAGGCTATATACTTTCTGTGTTTCCTATAGCTGTACCCACTGATTTTTTTTTATTTTTTTATTTTTTTTTTGGTATGTCCCATTTCCATTTCATTTTATTCCCCTTTTTCTTACACGGTTGCACCTACCCACCTTTTGACCCCCCCTCTCTTATTTTATCCACCTTTTTCTTACTCAACTCTCCTAGAAAAAAAGAGTCAACTGTATATGGGTACATCAAAAGAAATTGGAGGTATAAGCATTAATAACACCAATTAACTCATGATTTTGTCTCAAACTCAAATTAATGCCATTTTCGGAAAATACAGTATGACGGAAAATAGTGTCGTTTAACGTGATTCCTGTGCTCAAGCTACTGGACTGGCCTCTTATTATCCATAAGGAATAAGAGTAATTACCAGCGAGTGTTAATTATAATAAGCTAGGCCAAAACAAGGGTTGAAAGTTGTCAATTACCAACTAAAACAAAAATGAAATAAGCTAATAACTAACAATTATCATTAACTATGACAAGGCCAAAGTGAACGATGGTTGGGAAAGGGTTCTAACACTAACCTTACATACTACAATAATGGGCTTCCGTATGTTCTCATTTAAAGTGGTTTTCACTCCTACTTAGGCTTTCCTTCCAATTAGATGGGTTACCATACCAGTAAAAAGAAAACAAAACCTAGGTAAATTCAAGGTCTACAAGATGAAATATGAATGAAATAAAAGGAAATGTGAATAAAATGATTCAAAAACGATGTGAAAATAGTAAAATAAAAATTAAAAAGGATGAAAACTTGTTAATCCACTAAATATTCTAAATTTAACTACATGAAAAGTGAAAATAAGAAATATTGAGGCTAGAAACGCTAAAATTAGAGAAAAAGATCCTAATTATGCCTAAAATACTACTTTGTCAATATTAAATGCTTATTGTTAGCAGTTAGAGCTTTACATTTTTTATCATAATTGTCGTTTTCCTGGCAAGATATTTGCTAAAAATAATGATAATCTTGTATGTAAGCCTAAATATAGATACCAAGGGCTGATTGAATTCGCATTACATCTATATTTTGTGTCATATATAATTATTTTACAGCAATCATGTAAATCTCAATTGAATTCACCCTTTTTTATGTTTTCATTATGAAGGTTATACTACAGCTGGCAGAATCAGGCTCTTTTCTTCGCCAGGTTGATTTGTTCAAAGTGCGTGGGAAATTTGCTTTATCAGATGCATATGAAGACCATTTTATGCTTCCTAAAGGAAAAATCTTAATAGTCACCCATCGTAGAGCTGTACTTCTGCAAGTAAGTGGGAATTATGCAAAATGGGACAGTTTTTGTTTATCCTGTTTGCATACTTTTACTGCAGGTATTACTTTTCAATACTAATCTTGTTAGTGTTCAAGACTCTGAATTATTGATTCTGCATTTTTTTAAAAATTTCAGCAGCCCTTGAACATTAAATTCAGTGCAGCCAAAGATCCCTGTTCAATACTGTGGGATGTTATATGGGATGACCTGGTAACTATGGAGTTGACTCATGGAAAGAAAGACCAACCCAATGCACCACCTTCACGTGTCATCCTATACCTTCAAACCAAGTCAATAGAGACCAAGGATCAATTTCATAAAGTCAGATGCAACCGTGATTCTAATCAAGCTTTTAAGGTTTATGCTGCAATTGAGCAAGCAATGAACACCTATGGACCTAATAAGTCGAAGGTGAGGATGAGTTATGCCTATCAGTAGTAATATTTTCAAATTTTACTGCTTTATCTTTGTCTTTATTTTTTGGGTCACTGGTCTCCTCATTATTGAAGGTCATAGATTCTTTAATTGCTTACTGTAACAAATGCGTTATTACATCTAGGTTTGGCCATCTAGGGGTGGGGGTTGAAAATTTTGTGTCATTGGATGCAATCAAGATAGTATTGGAATAATGGGAAAGGAAAATCAATGCCCAATTCTTTCTGTGTGGTGAACCACAATGGTTTGTGTATGTGTATATGTGAAGAGATGAAGCTTCTCAGATTGTTGTCTTGTCTGAGTGAAATTCCCTGGTATTTGTGAGTGAAAAGGACTGTTGTTCTAGCAATATTTGAATGCTTCTTGTACGGGTTGAGGTACTTTTGGAAGCAAAGATTTCATAATCAAGATCCTGCCTTAGATTGTAAGGTTCCCCTCGGGATCAGATATAAGGGACTGTTTGCTTTTTTATATACAGAGTAAATACCCAAAAAAATCTAAATAATTTGTGACAATGATTATTAGATTGGTTCGAATCAGTTCTTATTTGATATTCTGAACTCTGAAAAGCCATTTATCTTTCTGTGTGTAGCATCTTCAGCAGCTTAAAATATGAATACCCCAAAATGCCCAAATGGGCAATTATGTGAATCTGCTGGAATATTTTTTCGTGTGTTAGAGATGTTGCAAGAAAAATCTTTTTAATCATTTTGCTTCAACTCTTCAGTGTTTTAAGTGTTCCCCTTCTGCTGTAGCTAGTAGCAACTCCCCAGAGAAGGTATAATTAGTTGGTACTTTTATTTAAGGTAGTTGGGTTTGTGTAGAAGTGCAGGACACAGACTCCCTTCTATATGTTGACATCCCTTTTATATGCTGCTATCTTTTTTATTTGGCGTCTTTCTTGCTGCTTCCCTTAACAATATTTTCATATGCACTGTTTTGTTACTTGGTTTTATTTTATCTTTTTTTGTTCTCTCATTAAACAGCTGTAGACTGTTGGAGTGGCAATCATATATTAAATAATGTTTCATATATTTTCAAATGTTATTCAGGGACCCCTAAAAAAGGTTACAAGACCTTATTCCCCAAAGGCTGATCACGCAAATGGAGATTCAGTGCCCAAGGAAGGGGTTAGTGTGTGGTCAACAGGACAATTCCCAGCATCAGTTCCTACAAGGTCATTATTTGGAAGTAGCCCTGGCTAGAGCAAAGTTATTCCAACTGTCATGGAGCTTGATTTATCCTGCCTCACAAACATACACCATCAGTATGTAAAATCATGTTGGAGTTCTCCAATTCTGGCACGCTTTGTACATGCACTTTCTATCCAAAAAGGTAATGGTAAAAATCTTATACTGTTTGATGAATTTGTTGATCTCATCTGTTTGCAAGGTTTTGAGCTCACAAAGCCAGTTCATCTTTGTGATTATTCATTGATCTGAATAAATTGGGATGGTTTGTTTTGGGCAAATTTGCGTAGATATCATTCATCTTAGAAATTGGACGTGGGCATTTTTTATATTATTTTCTGTTCAGCCTGATCTCTTCCAAACCGTCTTATACAGGCTATTAACCCCTAAAGCTCTTGTATATCCAGATATTCTGGTCAAGTTTTTAACCCAAATTTTCATCACTTCTTCGCAGGTATAGAGGAAATACAGCTACAGAAGAGTCTTCATGTGAGGTTAAGCTTCCTGACTTCCTCAGGAGGGTGATTTATTGACCCCTTCCTGAAACAGTAAGGCATTTGTACATAAAATTATGCGGAGTTCATTACGTGTACATGAATTGCTGCAGATGTTTCTGCTATAGGTTATATTGAGCTAGAGCCTTTTTTTTTTTTTTCTTTTATACATCCATTGTACAACCATGTATGTAAATTCACTTGAACAGTCAATGTGATTATTCATACTGGCTTTTTTGCTTAATGAGCTAAGCCCATTTATACCTGACTTGAAGTAATTGAAAATAAGTCAATTTTGTTATGATCAAGCTTGAGCGCGAATTTTCTCATTTGCTGAGTTCATTCAGACAGGATTTTTTTTGTGAAAACCCTTCTTTTTAGCTAGTTGTCATGATAGTTAAGCTCTTGTGAAAGAACTCTCGTTTCATCTGTACAGCTCGTATTTATTCCCAACGAGGGAGAGCATAACAATTAACACCCCAAGTGAAGGGATTCAATGAAAATTAAATCAATGCCCTTAACCTACAAGTTATGGAGTTTAGAAACTTAATTTTTGAAAATTAATAGTACAGCTTGTAAACATCGCTTGTAAAAGTGGATTGAGGAAGTATATTGGAAATAATACCAAATGTATACCTATGGAAATATTGTTAACTAAAAACACTAAAGATGACAAATTATATTATTCTTGATATTCAATATTGGATACTAGATACCGATACAATATCCAAATTTCAATAGTTAGATTAACAATGTAGCAATTAGGTTTTTGCAAAAGTAGTGAAATAAGAAAATTAATTAGCGTTGTTTATCAAATTATTTATTCGGTGCTTTCATAATGATGTTTGTAACCACATGTTCACATCTAACACTCAAATCAGATAATCATATTAATATAAAAATCTATGTCCACAAGTCCTTTATTATGAGTATGTCTTACATTTACAGATCGATTATTTGATAAAAGTTCTACTATAATAAAAACTAGAGGAAGCCGTTTGTTTGTATTTTTTATTTTTTGTATTTTTGATATTTATGGGATAAATTTTGTAATTTTATTCGTTGTATTTAGCATCCCATTTAATATTTTTTTTAAAAATAAATTGTGAATTTTCCTTGGTTATATATTAAATAAAATTATTAATATCAAAAGATAATATTTTTTATTTCATTAATTTAAACTATAAAATATCATTCATCAATTATATAGATATAAATATAGATATTAGATCCATTGTCGGGTTGCCCTTTGTTCCCTTACTGACATTTAACGAGCCTTCGGCCAAATAAAATTTAAAGGTCTATTAGGCTTGAATTTTCAGGGTCAACGAACGAATTCGTTGTCTAATTCCTGCCTTCCAGGCATCGAAATTTCTGGGCACGAGCGAGAAAATACCAAATCAGGTTAATCACCCAATTACAACATCAGGAGTACGCGTCTTTAATTTTTTTTGTTTTATTTTTTTTTTGCTCATTCCAATTTATTTATTTATTTTCATCAAACATCATCCACTTTCTCTCTCTTCCCATTTGTCATCTGCACACAGATCTGCAGGAAACAAAAAAAAAAAAAAAAAATGGATGACATGAAAGACAAATTCAAGGGTTTCATGAAAAAGGTTAATACTCAAATGTCATCTTCTTCCTCTGGCAAATTCAAGGGCCAAGGCAGAGTTCTGGGTTCTTCTTCTTCTGGACCCAAAAATCCTAACCTCACTCGCCCTTCACAATCTGTCAATCCAAACAGCAATCAAAATCCATCATCTGTTCAATCCAAACCTTTACCTCAGAAAAATTCGCCAGTTTCTGATCCTAGACCCACCTCAATTGATGGTCAAAATGGTTCGAATTCGAACCCAGATTCAAAAAAAGATCGCCCTTCTAAAGATGGGTTTGATCCATTTGACTCGTTTATAACAAGTGGTGAAAGAAACAAAAATGGGTACTCACTTAATGTGTTTGAATGCCCAATTTGTGGTTCTGGTTTTACTTCTGAAGAAGATGTGTCAATTCATATTGAATCGTGTATTGTTGCTAAGACTAGCAAGAATGGTGATGGTGTTGAATTGGATTTGGATTTGGATTCTGATTCAGTGGGAATGGATGGTAATGAAAATAAGGCGGATTCCACGAATAAATTGGGAGGTTGTGTTGGTGTGTATTTATCAGGAAATCCATCAGATAGTTCGGTTGATGTTGTAATGAGGTTATTGAGGAACATAGTGAAGGAACCAGAGAATCCCAAATTTCGTAAGATTAGGATGGGTAATCCGAAGATTAGGGAGGCTATTGGTGAAGTTACAGGAGGAATTGAATTGCTACAAGAAGTTGGATTTGAACTTAAAGAAGAGGGTGGAGAAATGTGGGCTGTGATGGATACTCCTTCCGAGGACCGCCTTCTGAAGATTAAAGAGACTGTAAACATAATGGAACAGGCGAAACCTGATGGAAGTGTGTCGTCTGCGCCTATAGTAAAGGTTGATGAGAAGGTTGAAGTGGAAAAGAAGGTTAAAGAGAATGAGCCTAAGATCATTGATAGAGAAATTAAAGTTTTCTTTTCTGTCTCTGAGAGTGTTGCAGCGCGAATTGTGTTACCGGACTCATTCTATCAGCTGTCCTCTGAAGAGGTGAGGAGAGAAGCCGAAATGAGGAAGAAAAAAATGGCTGATTCTCAGCTTTTGATCCCCAAGTCATTCAAGGAGAAGCAAGCTCAAGCTGCTCGGAAGAGGTATACAAGAACCATCATCAGGGTACAATTTCCTGATGGAGTAGTTCTGCAAGGTGTTTTTTTCACCTAAGGAGCCAACTAGCGTTCTCTACGAGTTTGTCAGCTCGGCATTGAAGCAACAGGGATTGGAATTTGAGCTGATACATCCTGTGCCACTCAAACGGCGAGTGATCCCGTGTTTTCCTGCACCGGGAGAGAGAGCATTGACACTCGAGCAAGAAGATTTAGTTCCATCTGCTCTTGTGAAATTCAAGCCAATTGAGACTGATTCCATGGTATTCACTGGCCTTACAAATGAACTGCTTGAAATAAGTGAACCTCTTGGCAGCAGCAGCACATCTTGATGTCTTATGATTGTATGCTTAAAGATTGTTTTATCCATCTTTAACTTATAGTTTCTTACAACTGTAAAATTGATTTGAGTTACTAAACTGATTGGCTTATCCCTTTATGATTGTATTCTTGTAGATTTTCATACAGACAAAAATAAGTTTGAAATTTATATTGGTACACAGAATTTTTCAACTTCTCATCTGTTTTCACTGTATTGTTTTATTGCGTAACCTAATCAAGGAAGTTTATGAGTTTGAATTGAGCTTTGTGTTGTCAGCTCAAGGAGTTAGCGTACAAGCTTGTCTCTTATAGTATATAACTGGCGAAATTAACGTGCTCTGTTTGTAAGTGATTTCATCAACTCATGTATGAACATTCTTGCTGTAGGAATAAAAAACATGAAATTTCTTCCCCTTGGAAATAACTTCGAATATATGCTTATGCTTCCTAGAGTAATAGCTTGTGTGATTGACAGGGGGTAGTCTTCCAATCCATTCTTACTCTGATTCCATCTATTATACCCAAATGGCAAACAGTAATAACCAAACTAACTAAATAAAGGCTAAATACTCCGTAAAAGTTATACACCAACAAAGATTTTTTAAAAACACCTCTTAATAAAATTACAAATGAAGTTAATTGATCACCAACTACAATCAGCAAATGCAGATGGACACCCAAAATTTTAATAGCACAATTGTCTTAGAAAAAACCTCTGTGAAATCGTACAAGCAAATCCTTTAACATCTCCACTCTAGGAGATTTATTCAACTTCAAACTACTTGGGCTTTCTTCGCATCCCCATCCTTGATTTAGCGTATCTGAAATTTGTTAAGCAAAACAAATCTCTGGAAGAAACCATGTATATACAATGTCCATACCCTTTTAATTGATAATACAAGCTCCTAAAATAACCCCCCGCCCCTCAAAAGCCCCTCACCCCCTTTTCCCGGTTGCAATTAAAAGAGAACAGAGGAAGCGTAAATGGGAACAAAAAGGATACTCCAAACGCAAGCCGTCACCAGATGAAGACGAGATAAGGACTGTGCCTTGCAGTTGACTCAAAGCCTCAGTTGAGCAGGCAGTATCCTGCACCATAAATGAACTTGCCCCAGTAAATATAGGAATTTACAATTATTTACAAACTTTGAAAAAAAAAAAAAAAAAAAAAAGGGCAAGCACTTCTAGAGTTCTAGATCTAAATAAGAAGACACCAAAGGCCTGCAAGCTTCGGACAAAATGACACCCTCTACAGCCTTACTAAACACAGCAAAATTTAAGGCCCCCCAGTAGCACCTCGAATTCATGATTAGCCTTTAGCCAAGACCTGGAGTACCCAGTCACTCTACGAAGAAGCAGACTTGACTTTAGCAAGACCCCTATTTTCTAGGGCCTAAAGCTAAGGCAGCAAGTTAGAAGCCTTGCCAAGCAACTCAAGGATTCTCTTGAGCTACAAACTGTAGATCAGCTATTAAATGGCAGAGGACTCCCATGGTGCATACTATTTATTAAATAGTTGACTACAAATTAATTAATTAAACAAATTGGGCATCACTCGATCAAAACCAACACTAGATTGAGGCACAGTACAGAGTAAACAGGCAACAGAACTAGAGGACCTGGAAGTCAACAAATGCAACAGGAGCCCCATATGTGCCCTGTATCTTCAGCTTTAAGAATCCACGGCATCTGTAAGAAAGTAACAAGCACATACTTACAACCAGAACAACAATAATAACATAAGGGAAAAGAGAACTAGGAAGTAGGGCTGTGAGACCTTGAAAAAACTTGAGTAAGCTCTTGTTCTGAAGAATCAGGACCTAGATTAGCCACAAAAATTGTAGGACATGGTGGGTTATCTTGCGGAATATGGGAAGCTGAACTATGGCTCTGTAACAAAAAGAAAACAATTTCAGAACTCTTTCAGCGCATCAGGGAAAAAACAGCAACAGCAACAAATCAACATAGAGAAAGAAAGACGTAACAGCAAGTATAACATCCAAGCACGACTTACAGATTTGGTAGCATTCGCTTCACTGATGCCTCTGATACTATGGCTCCTACGACTAAATGACAGAAGGGAAACATAGGTCAGACAACCACCACATGTATCAGAAGTTGACCCAAAACAGAAATCAAGTCACTCTTAGGGGTGCTAATTGAGCAGGGCAACTCGCGAGCAGCTCGAACTCGACCCGGTCAACGCTCGGTCAAAACTCGACTCGAGTTTGCTCGTGCTTGCTCGAATCAGCTCGAAACTCGATAAGTGTACAAGAAATTCAATATTTTTCTATTCTTCTATCTTTAAAAACAAAAATTTACTAAATAAAATATAATCAACAAGTATTTGAAATTCAAGAGACCTAAACCTTTAAACGAGCACCTCGTGATTGACTCGGCTCAACTCGAAAATTAACGAGCACGAGTCGAGCAACCCTCAACTCGTGATCAACTCGCTCGATTAGGACACAAAACAAAAATTAAGCAAGCCATTTACTCCAAACTTAAAGAGAGAAATTATAAAGGCAAGCAATGCATATGTGCTTAGAAGGCCAAAGGCATTTTGGGATCCAAGTAATAAAGATGTGCGGTAGTGCAATTGACCTTTGTGCAGATGTATAACCAATCGTGTTGTAAGCAGAATTACCCATCCCATGAATGTGAAAGCTGCCAATACCTGCTAGTGCCCAAACGTGGAAAAAAAAAAATGTGCGAAGTGAGTTTGAAGACAAGCGTGCTCTCATGTGACAAACTAGCACTGTGTAAAGAGAAATGAGAATTGTGAAACAAAATACAAAAAACTATGTAGATAACTTCTGCAAGGTTTCTAAATTCCTTTTCAGCATATGTGTCACAGTGCAGTCTGGTCAATGTTATGGGATGAAGCCACTAATTAAAAGTAACATTAGAGTGAATTAAAAAAAATAAAAAATAAACCAAAATGTAATAGATTACTATCTTACCCAACTCAAAACTGCCTCTTAAAAGAGCAGGAGATCCCTTATGTTTCTTATCTGAAGCAGGTCCTTCATCATCTGGTCACGAAGCAATTAACGTTTTGCTAATTAAAAATTAGGGGTTTTGTTGATATTCGTCACCAAAAGTCTGACGACAAATGTTGGTTATACAATATCAAAAGAGGGATATAAGCACCACAAACCTGTCCTTTGACGCTTAGATCGTGAATTAGATTTTGCAAGGTCAATGTATAAGGTTGATCCTTTTTCTAGATCAAAGACCATGCCCTAACACAAACAATAAGAAACAAGAGAACTCAATATTGTGCTTCATACAACTAAACAATTGCTTCTTAACAGTGTAATTCATACAGCCATTCTAAAGCATTCCTTCCTCTTGTTTTTAATACTTGCACCATTTGGACTTTAAAAGTATTCACCCTCTTCTATTACCGTATTTTTGTGACTTAGATATAAGAAAAATAATCAAATGGGATCTTGAAAGATTGCCTCAAAATATACTTTCAAAAAATCAAATTTTGACCAATTAAGAAGTGATAGAAGCATGAATTAAATGTATGATCTTTACAAAGTTACCATCTGGAAATCACCACCTCAAACTACCCACACCTAGCATTGGACCAATTGAAAGATCTACATTGGTGTTAAGTTATTAATAACCTCATCTTGTGAACTTGTATTAAACAGGCCGTGAAGCCATAGTTCAAGTAACAACATTGAACTCCAGCGATCTTGTTGGTAAAAAGAATTTTTGCTCAATTCACAAAGAATATATGACAAGGAAAATTGTTTAAACAATCAAACAGGTATTCTATGTTCCTAAATTTCAAAAGTTGCAATAATCGATAAATCAATCACTCATCCATCCGTGTCAAAATTTGAACCTGTCACAATCAATTAACATCTCCATGTTGACAATACTTGAACCTTTAATAAATACTTGTATGCACCATGTTAATATCAAAAAGTAAAAAATAAATAAAATCTTACATTTATTTCATGCATTGCAGTGACTGCAGACTTTTGATCCGCAAACACGACGAAAGCGAATGGCTGCCACCAACAAACAAATTGTTCATAGCTCTTATTAAACCAATGTCAAGTTTCATTCAATATTAACATTCTCAACTCTCATTGAAGATAGAACTGTGAGTCTGTGATGCATTACTATAAGAATACACGAGAACACTAGCCGCCCCAAGTTTGGATGATGAGTGATTTTCAGGTTATCAATCAATAAAATTACTATCCAATTTAAGAACTTACAAATCAATGCTAAAAATTTTGTTGAAAATCTTGAAATTGATTACCATTCGCAGCTAATGAATTCCCCAATAATCATCTAGAAAGACAAACAATTTGTGTGATCCCTTTTTACCCCAATTCCTTCCACTCCCAAATCACAATACTAATACTAATCAAAACCCTAAAAAAAATCCAATCATCAAAATTTGATTCATCCCCAAAAAATTACAGCTTCTGCCAAGCTAAAAATTGAATTGCAAATTTTAAAACTTAAAAAAACCTGAGAACTCTTGGAAGGAGAACGAAGATTGGAGGACAAGTAGCCAGGAAAATCGCGGAAGAGATTGTACAATTCGCGAGGTTTGACATCTTCGGGAAGTCCGGCAACAAAAAGAGTGCGAACTTCATCGTGAGAAGAATGTGGGGGTTGTGGATGGTGGGAGTAAGAAGAAGGAGGCGGAGGAAGGTGGTGAGAGTGATGTAGAGCCGCCGTTGGCGGCAGATGTTGCGACGGAGGAGGAGGGTGGTAGTGAGTGTTGAAGAGGGCGGAGTGAATATCGGAAGGTGGTGGTGGAGGTGGGTGTGGGTGTGGAGGTGGTGGGGTATAGTAGTATGATGACATTTCTTCCATGGAAGATTGAGAGAAAGAGGGAGAGAAAGAGGAGAGAGGATTTTAATTTAATGATTTCGGCTACCAAATAAGCCTTTGGGGTTCGTGTGGGAACCATGCGAGATAAGAAAGTGAAACTAGCAGATGAGATAAAGATAAAAATAAAAATAGTGTATTCTATTGTTTGGGAATTGGTTGAGGATTAGGTTGAAATAACTAATAAAAATACAAAATTACCATTGCTATTCTTTCTTCACTCTCTTCTTCTTTCTCTTTCATTAAGGGTAGAAATGTCTTTTATCCATTAAATTTAATCCCCATTAGGGGTGTACATAAACAGGATCGGACTTGAAAACCGACCAGGATCGGACCTGTTGGGACTGGACCTGTAAATTCAAGTCAGTCCCGATCCTTGAAATTCAGGGATTCTGGTTCCGATCAGGGGTTTCAGGGGGAAAAAAAAATTAATGTAAAATATAAATAGGTCGGGTTACATTCAGGTTTGGTGGAGAATAGGTCGGGTTTAATTCGGGTTTTAACGGGTTAAAACGAGTTAGGGTCATTTTCGGGTTCGAGTCGGGTTTAGTTCAAGTAAATAATTTGCGGGTTATTATTAGGTCGGGTCATATTCGGGTCTCAAATATTGGGTTAATTTGGGTGTCGGATTGATTTCAATTCGGGTCATATCGGGTTTGGGTACATTTTCAATAAATTTGAAGGCATTAATTAATCTAAGTTATTATTTGCTCTAATTACTCCCTCCGTCCCATAACACTTGACACAATTACCATTTTCGTGCGTCCTAAAATACTTGACACGTTACTAAATATGGAATGGGATCAATAATAAAAAATAAAAAAATTTCCTATACTCTTTTTGGGACCACAATCTCCAAAACTCAATTTAATACTACATTTTCTCTTACCTCACTACTCTACCTCCCCTACTTTTGTTTTCTTACAATATAAAAATACAAAAGAGAATCCTTTATATAATAAACAAATGTTTTAAATGGATCCACTTGTAGTTTTCTTAAACTACGTGTCCACCCCAACGTCCCAAGTATTATGGGACGGAGGGAGTATTATTTAGCTAGTAAAAATGATTTAATCCTGATTCTTGGGTATCTCTTCCAAATCGAGCAAGGTCAAAATGATTAGAAAAAAATTAAGCAAATTAGTTAAGAAAATTAAGGGAGAGCAAATAATATTCTAAGTTATTATTAGAATTAGACCTAAAAACACTACATCTATGGCTATAATTGATTTTTGAATGATAATAGACAAGCTTATGCGGTTATGCCAATATAATTTGGTTCTTAATGAAGGATTGAGGGAAAATTTTCCTTGCTTATTATTAAGAGAATAACCGCATATAAACAATGTACATGCCTTCGTCAATCATCATAGGCTACTTTAGCTAATTATCTCCTTTGACTATATAACAATATATATGACAATATGCTAAGGAACTATAGCCTATAATTGAACTTTAGATCATGCTTGAGTCGGGTTACGTCGGGTTATACATCTTATCGGGTTTGGGTCGGGTTTAGGTAGGGTTAATAACAGGTCGGGTTACATTCTGGTTGGGTGAATAATAGGTCTGGTTTAATTCGGGTTTTGACGGGTTAAATGAGTTAGGGTCATTCTCAGGTTTGAGTTAGGTTCGGTTCAGGTCAATAATTTACGGGTTATATTCAGGTCGGGTCATCTCCAGGTTGGTTCATGTTCGGGTTCAGATTTCGTATACTCGAGTTAACTCGGGTCTAGGGTTGGTTTTAGGTCGGGTCACATCGGGTTCGGGTCACCATTATTTCAGGTTCAAACAGATCGGTTAATAATCTAATTCGAGTAAATTGGATCAGGTCAGTTTTTAATAGCTCTACTTATAATACATGACTTTAGACCAATTTCAAAGATTTTCGAGACCCACTTTTGAATACGCTAGTAATGCTGAGTGCTAAGAGATGCACAGCGGAAGAATACTTTACGATTATCTTGATTCCTTAACTTTCATGTACAAGAAGATATATATACATGTTATACCCGCAAGGATAATATATGCTAACAACTAACAAAATACTATCTTATATCTCCTACAAGTTTATCTTCTTGATATCTTGATACTCAAGTATATCGTATTACCCCCCCTCAAGTTGGAGCGTGAACATCAATAACGCCCAACTTGCGAACGAGATAGTCCAATTGTTTCCTCCCCAATGCCTTAGTAAACATATCCGCGATCTGGTCCGTAGTTGGAACATAAGATGGAGTAATTATCCCATCGCGAATTGCATCCCGTACGAAATGACAATCGACCTCAATGTGCTTGGTATGTTCATGAAATACCGGGTTTTGAGCGATGTGTAATGCCGATTGACTGTCACACTAAAGAGGAACTGCCTTAGAATGATGTACACCTAAGCTTAATAGGAGACCCTTTAACCACTTAATTTCACAGGTTATTGCTGCCATGGACCGATACTCGGCTTCGGCAAACGAGGTAGACACAGTGTGTTGTTTCTTAGTCTTCCAGGAAATCGGGGATTGCCCCAATTATACCAACCAACCAATGAGGGAACGACGTGTAAGTGGGCACGCTACCCAATCTGAGTCACACCAACCTTTCAGAGATAAGTCACAATCTGAGCTAAGTAATATACCCTGACCCGGAGTACCTTTTAAGTACCGAACCACTCGCATGGCTCCGTCCCAATGCTCTTGCCGAGGCTCGTGCATAAATTGAGATAAAATATGGACTGCATAAGACAAATCTGGTCGAGTGACAGCCAAATAAATAAGACGGCCTACTAACCGCCGGTAGGATTCTACATTAGCCAAAATAGGTCCGGAAGCTTGAGCTAGCTGGTGGTTTTGCTCGATAGGAGATGACACGGGCTTGCTTCCAAGAAGACCTACATCATTCGCAATGTCCAACGCATACTTTCTTTGGGACAGGAATAAACCTGTTGAGCTATGGGCTACCTCAATACCTAGGAAGTACTTCAAAACTCCAAGATCTTTCATATGAAAGCAAGAATGTAGGTAGTCTTTAAACTATTTTATAGACTCAGAATTATTTCCCGAAATTACTAAATCATCCACATACACTAATATATTCAACTGAATTGTATCGTTAGTGTATGTAAACAATGAATAATCTGAGTATGATTGAATAAAACCATACCGTTTTAAAGCAGTTACCAATTTCGCAAATCAACATCTTGGAGCTTGTCGTACAAAGATTTCTTTAAATGATACACCATACTGGAAGATTCAGAGTGAAATCCCGGTGGAAGCTTCATATAAACCTCTTCATCGAGGTCACCATGCAAAAATGCGTTGTGTACATCCATTTGATGTATCTCCCAATTCTATGCAGCTGCTATGGCTAAGAGAGCCCGGACTGTAACCATCTTTGCCACCGGGGCAAATGTTTCATCGTAATCAATCCCCTCAACCTGATGGTTGCCAAAAACTACCAAACAAGCCTTTAGCCTTTCAATACTGCCGTCGGACTTCTGTTTAATCTTGTGAATTCACTTGCTGCCTAAGGCTTTCTTACCAGATGGGAGACGCTCCATGACCCACGTGCCATTACTTTCAAGGGCACGTATTTCATCTTGCATAGCTTGACACCAACCTGCGTCTGTAATTGCCTCTTTGAAGGACCTAGGTTCCTTCCCTGCTGTAAAAGCTGCAATGAAATTACGATGTTTTGCAAAAAATTCGTCACAACTAACATAATGTGCTATAGGATAAGGCGTACCTGAGGGAGGTGTGGGCGAAGGCGGATCGGGAGATGGACTATGCTTGATGACCGTACGAGTAATAAAACACGATACTTACTGTTGGGAATTTTCTCCCTAAGACCACGACCCAAGCTGTCGTGAATGGTGCTTGCAGGTTCTTTTTGTATTGGTTCACTGGCAGGCGCAACAGATACAACTACATCTTGTTGCGGTTGAGGGATAGACGTTCCGGATGTACTGTTGTCCAGGGGTGGCAGTAGTGGCCGCAAGCTGCCTATAGTGTGTTTCTCCACACCACGACCTGGCTATGGAGGAGGCTGCCTAGCAGGTAAGACCGTGGTTTTGGGAGCCTCCATTGGCTCGACTTCGTACTCATCATAATCACAAAAATCCGAAATCGGTTCCAAATTAGATTGGTCATTTTGAGGCACAAAATCAGTAACCTCCGATTGTAAGTATGGGAAAACATTCTCAAAGAACCATACATCACGAGATATAAAAAATTTCTTGGAGTCTAAATCATAGAGATGCCACCCCTTTGAGCCGAATTAATAGCCAACAAAGCTACACTTTCTAGATCGACTAGCAAATTTATCCCCCTTTGCACGTTGATTATGGGCAAATCACAAGCATCCAGACACACGTAATTCATCAAACGATTGTGGTTAATGAAACAAAATTTCATACGAGGTATATTTGTTTAAAATGCTAGACGGTGTTCTATTAATGACATGAGCTGCGGTTAAAGCACATTCACCCCAAAATTGAATGGGTAAACCGGCCTGAAATCTCAAAGCCCTAGAAACATTAAGTATATGCTTATGTTTTCGTTCTACCCTCCCATTTTGTTGAGGAGTGCCAACACATGACTTTTGAAACAATATACCATTTGCATCAAAATAATCTATTAGACAATTAAACTCTATACCATGATCACTACGCACAATTTTTAATTTTTGATCAAATTGACGATCTATTATAGCAATAAAGGACATAAACATACGAAAGAGCTCCTTTTTATCGATCAACAAATAAACCCAAACTGCATGTGAGAAATCGTCTACAATAATGAGAAAGTATCTAACACCACAAGAGGAAACACGGTCATAAGGACCCCAAAGATCATAATGGACTAACTCGAAAATTTGAGTCGTCTTATAAGTACTTAAAGGAAAACTACACCTAGATTGCTTTGTGATTAGGGGAATATTCCCACCCAATCACAGCTCGCCATGTGGCATAGTCAAGCTCTGACAAGTGTCCTCCATTTGGGCGACTCAGGGCATGCCACGTGGCCTACCCCTGATTGGTCCACCATGGACCCCTCATGCCACGCCATGTGGCCATTCTGATTTGCCTAAACAAAAGCCAACTTGGGCCCAATTCCCAAGAAAGCCCAGTCAGTCCCAGGATTAGCCAAAAACCCTAGAAACTGGCACGCTTCCCAATGCTATAAATACTGACATTCAATGCTCATTAATGAGAGAGACTGTTCACAAGAAACACACGGATTGCACAAATCCCAAGACAATCACACACCACTCGGTACCGACTGCTAGACCCGTCCTAGCATCCGGCGCCTATTTACTATCCGCATCCTAAACTCCTTCATTCACTAACTTGATCGTTGGAGGCGAAGCTCCCTACCCAAGGAGCCTCCGTTATTTTGCAGGTACAGGCGCGTGGTTCCGGCCTCGAAGTTGTAACTCTCCCGCGGGACACCAGAAAACCCCGAACATTTTGGCGTCGTCTGTGGGGAGAGTACCTTTGAGATGGTGTCACAATCTGTACCGACTAATAGTGACAAGCGTCCCGAGGGCGACTGCCTAGAGGACGACCCTCATGTCTCCTCTGATGAAGACACTGAGCCTGAAGTTGAGACTCACACGGCCCCAGACGGGTCCTTAAGGGCTCAACGCACTACACCTCGTGAAAGACAGGAACGGCAAGACCAGGCTGGTCCAAGCCAAACAGTCGGACCTTTGGCCGACTCTCATCAAGCGGTCGACTGGACTGCTCCTGTCTCAAGGAATGACCTCATGACCATCATGAGAAGTTTCAAGGGTAAGATTCAAGATCTCATCAACAAAAAGACGGCTGTCTCCCAAAAAGGGCAGTCGAGCAAAAAGTCTCCCTATTCAGGAAAGAAGAAGTCATTGAAGGACCGTGAGGCAACCCCCCACCCTCGCCAAGAGGAGAGGCGGGTACCTCTAGTCAATTTATCCAAGCACCGTTTCTCTGCCTCATCGGGAAGGAAACCACTCTGCCTGGTTCAACCAGACGGCTCAAAGAAATCCTACTCAGACGCCTGGCTGCTGATTCAGCAGAAAAGGAGCCAACAGCAGTCTGAGTCGGTCTCCACTTCTGATTTTCCTGACAGTGTACAAAATACTTCCTTGAAGTGTTCAAAATCAAAATATAAGATTCGAGCGGGCAGCACACCCTCCGGTTCCAGCTCTCATCAACAACAGTTGGCACCATATGTCCCTCAGCCGCCATATGTGCCACAAGCTCACTACTTTTTACGACCTCCTCCTTTCGGAGGTCAGACAACAAAGAATGTCCAGCCTTTGGACTGGCAATTACGATTGCTTCAACTCGGAGAACAACCAACCGCCTTCTCCAAGAAAATTTTACAAGCCGTCCAGCCGGCTAAAGTGAAAAATGTGTTAGTAGGCGCCTATGATGGCACCACTAACCCAGAGGATCACCTGATGGTATTCACCAATCTAATGTACCTTCAAGGGTTGGACGACGCCACATGGTGCAGATGTTTCCCGGACACTCTAAAAGGAGTTGCCCAACAGTGGTTCGGCAACCTGCCGGCCGACTGTGTCAACAACTTCAGGACATTGGCCTATTTGTTTGCCTCCAACTTTTCCATGAACATACCTGCCTGGAAGACAACTCTTGATCTGGGAGCCGTCCAGCAGGGAGAAAAGGAGGGATTGCGCTCCTATATAAAAAGATTCAATCTGATGAGGATACAGATACCCAACCTGCCAGATGAGGTAGCCTACACTGATTTCTTCAAAGGATTGAAGGACGGGTTGAACTTCAAATTCGACTTAGTCAGAAAGAGAGTGGCTACCCTCTAAGAAGCGATGATGGAGGCCGAGACCTACATACATGCGGTAGACCTCTGTCACATGGGAAAGCAAGGGGACCAGAAAAGGTCCGAGAAAAAGGAGGGTCGTCCACAGAAAGCGGCCCCCAAGGAAGAGAAGAAGAGGAAAGATGTTTGGATGGCCGACACCACTGGTCAGCCGTCCAGCAAAAAGAGAAAGGAATGTTAACTCTGTTAATTAGGGTGAGACCTCTGGAAACTCGTTTTCTGAGGTTACCATTTCTGAGAAAGACTCGGGTGGTGTTCGACGACCACATGACAATCCCATTGTCATCGAGTGTAAAGTGGCCAATCAAAGAGTTGGCAGAATACTTATTGACATAGGGAGTTCGTCGGACCTAATCAGTCATAAGTGCTTAACCAAGCTCAAGTACAGGCCCGAGAGTATACAACCTGTCTCCCATCCTTTAGTAGGATTTGGAGGAGGAGTCGTCCATCCGATTGGTCAGGTTGACTTACCCGCCCGTCTAGGTGAGAAAGGCGAGGGCCACCACATGGTCATTCGTTTTTTGGTTGTGGAAGAGCTTACTGCATACAACATGATCCTTGGACGCCCTACCCTTAATGACTCTAAAGTGGTTATCATTCCATCCCTTATGTTGCTCAAGTTTGAGAAGGATGACAAGACAGTCGGTTCCATAAGGGGGGACCAAAGAATGGCCAGAGAATGTTACCTCACTGACATCATAATAATGGTAACTTCAGACGGCCCCTCTGGCCAAGCCAAAGAAGAAGCGCCTGCCCAAGAGGCAGGCAGCAGGAAGAGAAAAGCCTCCGAAACGGAGGTCATGAAAAAGCATAAACAATAGCAATCATTGGCTGAGGAGTGGCCGGATGAATTCCGCCCTCAGCCAGCTGGGGATCACGTGGATGTAGCCCTAGATGACAGTCGTCCTGCCGAACTGTTAAGGTGGGGACGACTGCTCTGACTGAACTTGGTGATGATCTTCTCCAACTGTTGAAAGATTTTCAGGACATTTTTGCATTTGAGGTACATGAGATGCCAGGAATTAGTCCAAACCTGGCGGTACACAAACTAGTTGTTGACCCAAAAAAGAAACCGGTACGACAGAAGAAAAGACATCATGTTGAAGAAAGAAACCAGGCGGCCGCCGCCGAAGTAAAGAAGTTACTTGATGCAGGATACATTCGGCAATGTTTTTACCCAGAATGGGTTGCAAATGTTGTGCTAGTCAAAAAGCCGAATGGTTCCTGGCGCATGTGTGTGGACTGCACTGATTTGAACAAGGCATGTCCGAAAAACAGCTATCCTTTGCCAAAGATCGACAGCTTGGTCGACTCTACAGCCTGCCATGCCTTGATGAGCTTTATGGACGCCTACTCAGGTTTTCACCAGATCCCTCTGTGGAAAAAAGATCAAGAGAAAACTGCCTTTGTCACAGAGCAGGGACTCTATTGTTACACGGTCATGCCATTTGGTCTGAAGAACGGCCCGGCAACCTTTCAAAGAATGATAAACACTGTGTTTTTTGAACAAATTGGAAGAAATGTGGAGGCGTACATTGATGATATGATTGTAAAGTCAAAACTCCAAACAGACCATTTGGCCGACCTCCGAGAAACATTCGCCACACTCAGGCGGCACTGAGTCATGCTTAATCCAAAAAAGTGTGTCTTTGGAGTTGAGTCTGGGAAGTTTCTCGGATTTCTGATAAATCAAAGGGGAATAGAGGCAAATCCTGACAAGGTACAGGCGGTCATAGACATGCAGTCGCCTCGTACCGTCCGAGAGGTACAAAGGCTAACAGGCTGCCTCACAGCTCTCGGAAGGTTTCTCAGTCGGGCAGGCGACAAGTGCCTCTACTTTTTCCAGGCAATAAGAAAGAAAGCAAAGTTTGAATGGGGGCCGGATGCTGAGTCGGCCTTCCAGAAGTTGAAAGAGCACCTGCACCCCCTGCCGAGGCTAGTTAGCCCTTTGACAAAAGAAGTACTTTACATGTATCTCGCAGTATCAGATCATGCTTTAAGTGTCGTCCTCTTAGCTGAAAGAGACGGCTGCCAACTCCCAGTCTACTTTATCAGTCATGTCTTGAAGAAAGTAGAGTTGAGATACCCACTGGTGGAGAAATTTGGACTCGCCCTCTACATGGCAGTAAAGAAATTGAAGCCTTATTTCCTGGCACACCCGGTGGTCATATACACGGACCAGCCAATCAAACGGCCCCTAACGACCCTGGAGTCGTCAGGACGAATGATCAAGTGGGCAATTGAGATCCAGAGCCTCGAGGTCACGTTTGAGCCAAGAAAAGCTGTGAAGGGGCAAGCCTTCGCTGACTTTATAGTTGAAATGACCCGGTCACCAGATTGTGAGGAAATTAATCAACTCTGGAAAGTCTATGTGGATGGGAGTTCCACAGCGAATGGCTGTGGGGCAGGTATTGTATGTCAGTCGCCAGAGGGCGACAGGTATGAATATGCGCTTCGCTTCAAGTTTCAGGCTTCAAACAACGAAGCCGAGTATGAAGCCCTTTTAGCTGGTATTCGCATGTGCAAAGCAGCCGGGGCAAAAAAGATAGCCGTCTGTTCAGATTCACAACTCATAGTAAGCCAGTACAATGGGGATTATGAAGCGACTCGTTCGGCTATGGTTAAGTACCTAGAGGCAGTGAAACAGGCGGCAAACTCGCTTGAAGATTTCCAGTTGACTCAGGTCCCAAGGTCCGAGAATAACCAGGCGGACGCCTTGTCCAAACTGGCATCCTCGGCCTCATGCGACACCCCTAGAACTGTATTTTGGGAAGTATTGGAAAAACGGAGTATTGAGGAAAACAACATTGCAATCCTTGATAGAAGTTCAACATGGATGGATGTCGTCCGAGCCTACTTAACAGACGACATTTTGCCGGCTGATCACTATCAAGCGGTCCTAGTAAAGAAGCGGGCATCCAGTTTTGAGATGCACAAAGGTGAGCTTTTTAAGAAAGGTCGTTTGCAACCTTTTCTGAAATGTGTTACCCCTGAAAAGGGACGAGAGGTCCTAGAAGACCTACACTCCGGATACTGCGCCTCTCATGTAGGCGGTAGTTCGCTTGCTCAGAGAGTGAGGCGGCAAGGGTACTTCTGGCCGACTCTGGAGGCAGACGCCATGGATCTGGTTAAAAGGTGTGACAAGTGCCAAGGTTTGGCAAGTTAATTCATCGTCTAGCTACAGATCTAACGGCTATCCACAACCCAATTTCATTTGCTAAGTGGGGCATGGACATTCTAGGACCCTATACGCCTGCATCAGGCGGTAGGAGATATATCCTTGTAGCAGTCGACTACTTCACTAAGTGGGTGGAGGCCGAGGCAGTCAGAGGCATCAAGACCAAGGATATAATCTCCTTCATTTGGAGAAATGTGATCACTCGTTTTGGAGTTCCTATGTCCATGGTTTTTTACAATGGTCCCCAGTTTGAGACGCATGTTCTCAAAACTTGGGTGAGAGATCAAGGCATCGCTTGCTGCTTTGCATCAGTCGGACGACCGCAAGCAAACGGCCAGGTTGAGGCATTCAACAAAATCATCTAAGACGGTATAAAGAAGAAGATTGCAAAAGCAGGCGGTCTATGGGCAGGCGAACTACCACATATTCTCTGGTCCAGAAGGACGACTGAAAAAGGAGCTACTGGAGAAACACCTTTCCTCCTAACATATGGGGCAGAAGCTGTTCTACCCATTGAGCACTATGAGCCGACTCTCCGAGTTATGCTGTATGATGAAGATGCCAATTGAGAAGCAATGCGACTGGAATTGGATTCTCTCCCAGAACGTAGGGGCAATGCTACCCTACGCCACGAAATATACCGCCTGAGAATGACTCGAGTCTATAACAGAAGAGTACACAGGCGCCCACTTAAAGTGGGGGACCTTGTCCTAAGAAAGATGGAGTTAGTCGGCAGGGCCAACAAATCAGGGAAACTAACTCCTAACTGGGAAGGGCCCTACCGAATCTATGAGGAAGTCAGGGACGGCACCTACCGTGTGGAAACTCTAGAGGGTCGACCCCTGCCTAGGACTTGGAATGTAGATAATTTGAAAAAATATTACTTTTGATGTAATTGTTTAAAGTTATTAATGAAATTTCCATGTCTGCCTTTTTTCCTTATATTTATGCTAAGTCGGCATTCCGCCTGTCCCAAGACAGGCGAATACCCTCCAAATCGTACCTACAAAGAGGTACGCCTGTTTTCCCATTATACGACTACCTCCTTTTATCAAACCCGGCACCAAGCCGCTTGATTACATTAAATTTCTAAACTAATACGACCTGTCCCAGTAAATAGCAGGCATCCGATGACATGCCATTTGGATGAGATTCGTCGCAGAGAGAAGCTCCCATTTGGGTGGAATAATGCTCTATAAACTAATTACACGGTCACTATACGGCTGTCACCTAGACAACGTACCCGTTTTTTGAGACAAAGATAACTCAACACTTTCTCAGCAAAGTGTCAGCAGTTGACATCTGCGTCGGATAGCCGCCTGTATTACTTGGGATAAATACAGGGGGCATTTCTTGAGTTAATAAGTCAACCAAAATTGACGAATCAAGGGGATCATTCGGCCTCCGCCGAGTGATACCTTTACTACTCAAGCTCAGTAGCGACGGCGATTGATTAGCCCCTAGGTTAACTCATAGTAGCTCTCTTATATTTAGTCCGAAATTTTTGAACTAAGACTAAGTTAAACAATACTTGATCAATTAAGGAAACCTCTCGGCATGTGTCGAATGGTTTCTAAGGCGCCTGGTAACCCGTGACCATTACCAGTCATTTAGAGAAATGCTCTATTCAATTTCGGAATAAGCAATATACAACAACAGACTCACAGCGCTAACCGACGGTTCTCTAAGAACTATGTGGCGTAAAATGCATTTTAAGTTGGTTGTTTCAGTCGGTGCCTAACCACTACGACTAACTTAGTCCATTTTGCTCAGACTAGGATCCGACTATCTTTGGCCGACTAGTTACTCTTCTTTCAAAAAGTACACCAGTCGTCCAGGGGCAAGGGCAGTCGGCATCATGATTCAGCGGTTTAGCTAAAGAAGTTCAACATGGATATGGCATACAAGCGGCTAACAAGTCACGTCATACTTGACAAATTTTTTAGCAAAAAGAACAAAAGTAAAAATAGACAACAACATATGTAGCAAAGGACGACTTAATAGTCGCCATATCAATTAAAGCCAGACAAAGCTGGCAAAGTTAAGTTAAAGCCAGACAAGCTGGCAAAAAATATTCATAAGCCCCGGCCCCCTGGCCGGGTAAAGATACAAAAGTTACGGCACGCAGGCCGGATCAAGTTTGAAGATATAAAAGCTTAAACAGTTGGAGGGACCTCGCCTTCAGCAGCCGCCTTCTCTTGCCGGGGAGGGAACACTTGACTGCTCTGAACAGTTTCCTGCTCCTGTTCAGGCGCCTTTTTTGAAGATTCCCCTTCAGCCTCAGCAGCCACCACTTCCTCTTCAGAAGAAGAAGAAGACTCGGACTCCTCCTGGTCGTCGCCTCCTCCCATGACCGCCTCGTCATGCTCTCGAGTACAAGCGGCAAACTAGCTCCCCCATGTTGAGTAGTCGGTGTTTGGGTAGAGGTGGGCCCAGGTCATTTTCATGATGGCACTACAGTGTTCCATCATGTCAGCGACCAGGGCTTCCTTCTCCTCTTCAAACCTCGACTTATACTTTTGGGCCAGCTGCTTTTCTTGGTTGGCCAGGCGCTGCTTCAGGCGGGCGTTGCTGGTTTTCAGATCCTCCGCCGCCTTTACAGCCTCGTCATGGGCGTCAGCCTTCTCCTGGTTCTCGGAGACTTTGAGCTTGAGCTCCTTTATCTTTTCTTTGGCCGCCTCCAAGTCGTCCTTGACTTGCTGATTCGCAGCCGCCTGTGCAAGTAATATGTCATTCGTCAAGACTTCATTTTGAAAAACAGAAAACATGGCCTTGTCCACGGTGGAGGCGGCGTGCTCTTTGGCAAATTTTACCTCTTTGTTCTTTTTCTGGATGGGCCGACAGAGACCGTGCACTTGCAGCATTGACTGATTAAAGACAAACAAATACAGTCGGTTAGCAAAACAGTCGACTTTCAAAGGAAAAGAAGTTGTAAAAAATTGGAGGATACCTCGGCTAGCAGGGCGAGGATGCCCTCCAGATTGAGGGTGCCAAAACCCCTCACCGTCTCCTTGTCTTGGGAAGAGACGGCCTGCATCATGCTCTTGGCCATCGTAGAAATATCTGGCCGAGCAGGAGGACCACCTGTTAAAAGGTGGATGATTAGTTAACGACTGATCCAGGAGGACAAGCTTTGAAAGAAGTAAGGAAAACAAAGTTACCGTCAGACGCCTTCTCCTTGTTCCTCTCTTGATGCCGCCTGTCCTTTTCCTGTTGCAGCTTAGCCTTCTCCTTATTCTTCTCTAAGGGGAGGTTGGCGGCAAGGAACGACCCAGGCTTGGCCGCCACATGTTTCCTGGTGCGGGAAGGAGTGTTGGTGTCCCATGCCGACTGCTTCCTGACCTTGTCAGGAGGCGGCTGAGGGGTCGATGGGTCCTACAAACAAACAACACAGACGGTCAAAATGATTCACTGAAAAACAAAAGACAAGGAGATTGGATTCAATCATAAAAGTCTTACCCCAGCCGACTGATTGGCTGGCGACTCCCCGGTTGGGCGCTTGCCCAAAACCGCGAGCGGTACTGTGTCGCCGCCCTTTTGAAGCAGTAACCTTATCCATTGCTTCAGCTGCATCAAAAAAAAATCAAGATTTAGAAAAATCAACAAATGACAAAGTCAATACGAAAAACAGGCGGACAGCTACCTTCAGGCATTTCGGTACTAAGCCCAAAGGCGGCCAAGTACGTCCCATCATACAACCAATTGTATTTGGGAACATATTTTTGGGGAACAAAGACCTTCTTCCCAGATTCAGGGTCCGCCTGAATATCAACCTTAAACAAGCCGGCGTCTAAAAGTTTGCGCTTGGCCTTAGAAGGAACAGGCGGCAGGTCTTTGCCGGCTAAGAAGGGTGGATCCCTATTCCACCTGTTGTACTTGGCATTTTTGGCCTTGTCAGGGCAAGTGATGATGTAGAAGGTAGTCCGCCAGTCCTTCCACTTATTCTCCTTACCCTGTGTCATTACATATCCCCTATGGGATGTCAGCTGATACCAGCCGGACCCCGTTGCCTTTCGAGTCCGACTAAGATAGTTCATTTGAGCAAACGCCTCAAAACTAGCGTCTACTCCATGCATCCTACACCTGGCTACATAGCCGAGTATGTTAAACCAAGAATTGGGGGCCAGTTGCCACAGCCCAATCTGGTACCCGTCCAAAATGGCCTCGACGGCCGGGTGAAGAGGAAATCGAAGGCCGGCTTTAATAGCCGCCTCATAACAACCAAAGCACTGGTCCCCATAGTTGGAACTAGGCGGCCAAACTACAGTATCCTATCTATCGGGGACCGACACAGAGTAGTCGTCCCCCATTACATGTTTGGAGATGAACTCTCCAAATCTCTCCGTCATAACTTTCTGCCTCCCTTCAGGCACATGATGGAAATAAGGGGCGTAGAAGTCTCGATAGGAAGCCATGGGCTCGGCCCAGTCCTCCCCCATTTTCGCACTCAAAGACTCTCTAGCTGTGTGAATTCTAGAGTACAGCTCTTCAGAGTCTAAAGAGTTCCGGCTCTCATTACTTGTGTCCGACTCGTCACTAGAGTCAGACGAATCGTTTGGCTCAGAAGGTCCAGCAGGAGCCGCCTCTGCCTCAGAGGACGAATCCACAGAATTATTTACAGCAGGAGTCGCCTCTTCCTCAGAGGACGACTCCCCAGACTCATTTAAATAAGGGTCTCCAGGAGTGCTTGGGGTACCAGATCTATGTTCAGGAACGTCATAATGTGTATAAGAGCCGTCTAAATTAGTTACTCGGGCGGTTCTCTTGACTCTTGCCATGGTGTCCTGCACAGACATGGAAACAGTCGGACGCTGTGCAAAGGACAGGAGTGGTTCTAGAAAGGTGGAGTCGGCACTCCTAGTCCTAGATTCAGCCGTCCCCGGTGACCGACTAATCAACAACCTAGGTCGTGCCGAGTGCCTTTGAGACACCATACTTTGTAAAATAAAAGAGGAAAAAGATTCAAAGAGTGGATGTTTACCTAAAGT